TAAAAAAAAAGGCTTCTAAAAACACTAAACCAAAGTATAATACTAAGAAAGCTATAAAACTAGCTATAAAAAGAGCTAATACAGCTAATAAAGCCAAGGCTAAAAAGGCTAAAAAGGCCAAAAAGGCTTATAAGGCCAAAGCTGCTAAATAAATCTGTATTAGCAGTTTTACCTTTTCCGGAGGGAAATATTTAATATTTAATTAATAATTTATTTTAATATTAAAAGTTCTTAGTTTTTTTTAAAGCCTTAAAAGGTAAATAACTTTTATTTATATTAAAAGGTAATTAAAAGGTTATTTTAAATACTTAAGGCTTTTATTAGGTTTTTAAGCTCTTATATAACTATTATTATATTTAAGGTACAGCCTGTGCCTTTATAGTAACATGACATCCGTGTAACAAATAGATCCATGTCCCCCAAGGCAGCACCCTTTGCGTGAGCTAGCATTTTCTTGGTCTCCTTGATAGTCTTGGCCTGTTCCTTCGCCTTGGATAAACTGAGCTCTTTGACACGTTTCTCGGCGTCGAGATCCTTTTGCAGTTTTGCTTTCATCGATTTCAAATCGTCCACTTCAATGTTTAGATCTTTGATGGCTTTGGTGAAGGCACTCGTCCTTTCGGCTGATTCCAAGTTTAATACTTGATCTTTGAGCCTCTGTATAGTTCTCGATTGCTTTGCGTCTTTGGATTTGTAGTAGTCTCTCGATTGCTGAATCGCCTTGGCTTCGTTGAAAATGGTGTCGCATTTACGTCGAAAGTCCTCTTGCGTGTCGATCTTTTTCTTCAACTTCCTCTCAAGATCCTTGCTCTTTGCGATCATTTTCTTCGTTTCTTTCAGCTGCAGATCACACATTTCCCTTTCCTTTTTGGCTTGTGCTCGAGCGTCGATGGCCTCCTTCGACTGTTTCCGTTTTTGAGCAGCAAGAATTTTGTTCTGGCTGATCAGGTTCGAGTTCACTTCTTGTTCATTCTTGATCAGGACTTGGGTCGCTTCCTTGGCTTCGCGTAGTAGGCGTTCGGTTTCCTTCAAATCGCGCTCGGCGTTTGCCTTTTCGATCTCCCTCTGCAACAACGTTGCTTTCATTGCCGTGTACTCGTCAAGCATCTCCTGAAACTCCCTCTCACTTGCACTATCCTCTTTGGTTTTAGACGCAAGTTTTTCTTGGAGATCCCTTGTGGCCGAGCTGTAATAATCCGCCTGTTGGCTCCATTGAGAAGTAGACCAATTTGCGGCGGCTAACAACTTTTCGAAATGAGCTGTTGCCGCTTCAGTGGCCGCTGCATTTTCTTCAGTAATGAAGGTGACGTAGTTCTCCAAAAACCTGACTTGGGCGTGGAGAATTTCAGCTTCCTGCATAGCCTGGTATCGTGCTTTCGTTTGGGCTTCAAAGAGAGAGCTGACGTCGTTGAGTGCGCTGGCTACATTCCCCAAGGTACCCTCAAGCATAGCGACCTTGTGCTCCAGCCGAGCAGTCTTTGCGTTGGAGGCTGCGATGATCTGCTCTGGAGTCATGTTGACGGGCCCTGTTCTGATGTTGACTGATGGAAAAGGAGTAGAAGGCTTGAGAAAATTGGGACTGCAGAGGATGGTGGTTCCTTAGTCGTAATTGAGCGAGGGGAAGCCACGGATTAAATATTAATTTCACCCTGAATTGAACACCAGAAAAGCTAAACTAATTTTGTTGTTCTTCTGTTGTTCAGGGGTGGAGGAACCAGGGGTGTCTTGTCATGAATAACGTCCAAGCTTGTGATTCTAGAACCACAAAGACGACCATGGCGGACGAGGAGTTCATTTGATGTTCAGTATTTGAGTAATCATCAAACTATAAAGATTCTGTCATAACCAGGTATGCTGTGCTGTGAACAGAGTTTGAGCACATACCAAGATGTAATTTGATGTAGTGTGTTCCAGCATCCAGCCATGTACGAAACAGGTCATATGCATTGTCCTGTGAAACTTGATACAGAAGGCAATGCTGCGCTCCGATCACTTTGTGCATATCATAAAGGGTATTGGGTTGAAACGTGGAGTCATGAAGCAAAACAAAATGCCGCAACAGCGGCCCTGGGCCCAACATCCCTAATCGCTCTTCTGGCTCGGCTCATGCCATGTATTTTAAGTAAGCATTGAAAAATCATATTTGAGGTGTCAGATATCCTTGGTTTTCCAAGAGGAAGAGAGGGACAAGTGACCACTTATGTACATGAAGCGAACATCTGTGCCTGGGGCTCTTGCCCGGTCATGTGTTCAATCCGTGTATCCAACGGGCCCTTTGTCGGTGAAGCCCCTTTGTTGGCTTCACAACCGTTGGGCCTTTTCCGTGTAACAGAGGGTCAGAGGTCTCTATGAGTACAGAAGAACCCTGTGAAGCCTAGAGGCCCTCGGCGGCCCTCGCTTAGGACCGACTTCAGGCCTCGTGACGTTTGCCTTTGTTGTTGTGTAACCTTTGTTGGCCCAACGCCCTTTATTGTGGGCCAACCGTGAAACACTCCGGGCTGTCGTGACACCTTTCTTTGTTGTTGTGTACCCTTTGTGGCCGATCAATGCCTTTGTTTTTGTCTTGGCCGTGTAACACAACCCCGGAGGCTCTTGTTAAATTCCAGTGCTGCTTACGACAGCGATTGAACATGAGAACCGCCATTCAAAAACAGCTATGAAGTCGGGCCAGCTCGATAATGGTGAATGGTTCATTGCAACATGGCGCCGCCACAGCTTGTTCAGCCCTGGCTACACACCCTTCTGCAAGTCCAGGCCTTTCCTGTCACGGGAGAGTGGCTTTGGTCAGAGGCTTGTTTGACAGCTCAGCTCTGTGCATGATACGTGGGGCTTTTAGCTTACCTGCCGCCCGGGTTTGTGGACAACCTTGCTAGGAGTGAAGAGATTCCGAGAGGCTGCCGCCATACCAACAGCTACTGAGATGCATTGACGTCACTCAGAATCACTGATGAGGATAATCTAAGCGGTCAAGCTGAGTAACTTCTCTCTTTGTCCCGCTAGGTGGTCACCAGACTAACACCCCATAACCTGATAACCTGTATGCCACAGAGGCCAAGAACACAACTCTGAAGGTGAAAGTGCGATCTCGCGGCTCATCATTGCAATCATTGAATCCCGCTCACGCGTGGCTTCTGCCCCACGGCGGCTCGGGAACGTATCAGTTTCACACGGATTGGAGCCAGCAATCACGGCCTGTCAATGCAATCACTTCAAAAGCCACAACTTTATGCGTCACCAACCACTCCCAGAAGCTTAATTCAGCCGAGTCTCAATCTGTGGTTGTTTGCCGCTCCACATGATCCATCGGACTTGTCATTGAGCCTCAAAGTTAGTTTAAATGTGCAGCAAAACCTTATTTCGGAAGCTAGTTCCAGCCGTTGGCAGCGGTTCACCACGCAACCAGTTGTCCTGATACTGCCGCCATAGGGTGTGCATGCCGGATAGTGATGCCCGTGTCATGTCGGATCCAATTTGAGGCGTCTGAGATCACTACGACATGAAAATAACTAGCTAATCGTGGCTGAGCGACCTTGGCCCTACCCGCGCTCTACTCGTTCTCGGCCTGGAGATGGAAAGAAACACTGCCCCGAATGACCACATCTTCCCGAGCTGAATCGGACAGTTCCTCACTTCAGCCCCAAGACGAAATACACTGTTTTCGGTAAACGTCGGGGTGAACTGCCGTATTGGTACTGGAGGACTGGTGGCGGTTGCAGTTCAGCTCTGTATATATGCTTGTCTTGCGAGGACGCCTCCCGACGCCTCGAGTGGACTATTGGAAACAACTACCGAAACACTCCCACCGCCAGAAGTATTACTCACGGGCTAACTGTGAAAGTCGAACAAGGCTTGGGCTGTTACAACTCATCTTCACCGGCGTAGGGCTAAATAGAGAATGCAGATGCGACCTCTGCCTTGGCACAGCCAAGCTGAAATCCCGCCAGCAGAGCCTAGATTGGTCCTCATACATGGGGCGTCAAGCCTCGTGAAAATGAGGTGCAAATCAGAAATTCCGATAGGGAGCTATATAAGCATGCTGTTAAGCTAGGGGGCGGTTCAGAATACAAATAAAGGCTAGATGTTTTGTTCGGTAGCTAAAGACTCCCAGTTGTGGAAAGGCCTTCTACACTGCTCTTCCTTATAAAAATACCTACTGGTTACTGGCTGTAATCAATCTCCTTTTACGGCTCTTTCTCTGTATCCCATACGTGTGTTGACCTAGTAGGACAATCCTCACTGTCAACATGCATCACATCCAGATTAACGGCAACTCACGCCCTGATGAAGGAGCTGCCAGTACCGCATCTCTGAGCACGTTCGCAGTACCACCACCCAGTGTAGCTATTTCCAACTATATCCTAATCCAGACCAAGGGCCCCTTAAGCGCTCAGCAGAAACAAGAACTTCGGGACAAGGACGTCGAAATTCTAGAGTACAAGGGTGAGGACGTCTACCTCTGCGGCTACAAGCCTACTACGTTAGAGCCCCTCATCAGCAACCTCAGGGACTTCGTTACAGACGCTGAGGTCTATCACCCGGATTACGTGGTTGAGCCAGACCTCAAGACGGGCAACGACGATGACGAAGCCGAGGTGGAAGTTGCCCTTCACGACAACATTGGCGACAATGACATGAGCCGTGTGGTCAATGACATTGCTGCCCAGGCGGACATTCCAGTTGCCAACGTCGAGCTTCATGACCGCAAGGCGTGCGTCAAGGTGCCCAAGTCCAAGCTAGCCCAGCTCGCCCGCATCGACGAAGTGAAGGCCATCAACGAGGTGCACACCCGCCGCATCTTCAACAATGTTGCTTGCGGCATTCTCGAAGCCCACACGCCCGTTGGCACGGCGAACACCACCTACAAAGGCAAAGGACAGGTCGTGTGCGTAGCGGACACTGGGTTTGACACGGGTTCGCTGGCCGGATACCACGAAGCGTTTGGTGACCGCGTCATTTCCCTCCATGCTAGGGGCCGGCCTGCCGCCCGGGGTGAGCCTGGGAACTCGGACGATCCGGACGGCCACGGCACCCATGTCTGCGGCTCTGTGCTGGGTAAAGGGGATCATGCCGAAGAGGGCGAGATTGAGGCCCCAGCGTCCGAGGCCAAACTCGTCATGCAGTCCCTCTTTGACAAGTTCGACAAGAGCCGGGGCCCAGACCCGAAGTCTTGGAATGCTGGGTTGGGCGGGATCGGCAACAGCTACCCCGACCTCTTCGGCGGTGTCTTCCGGGAGGGGGCCACGATCCATACCAACTCCTGGGGCGGACCACCTCAGCCCTATGTCGAGCGAGAATCGGCCAGGATCGACAGCTACCTCTGGGGAAACAAAGACATGACGGTGCTCTTCGCCGCGGGCAACTCGGGAGTCGACATCGACCGCCACCCCGGCCACGTCGACCCGCATTCGCTGTCCCCCCAGGCCGTTTCCAAGAACGTCATCACCGTCGGCGCATCCGAGAACTGTCGGCCCAACGTCAAGAGCCCCGTGGCGGGAAATAAGCCGCTCGTCTACGGCGCCTGGCGCAGCAAGTTCCCCTTCGGGCCCATCTCGGTCGACAACGTGGCCGACAATCCCGAGGGCATGGCCGCATTTAGCAGTCGCGGCCCCACTCGGCCCGATGGCCGGATCAAGCCCGATGTCGTCGCTCCCGGCACCACCATCCTGTCGGCCCGCTCCAGCCAAATCGAGCCCGGGCACCACGGCGAATCCTGGGGACACAGCAACGATGCCAGGTGGATGTATCTGGGCGGCACGAGCATGGCCACGCCCCTTGTTGCCGGCTGCTGTGCCGTGATTCGTGGGGCTCTTGTTGATAACCATGTGCCCCGGCCAAGCGCGGCGCTTATCAAGGCATTGCTGATCAACGGCGCGGTGCCTATGAAGGGACAGTACAAACAGGCTCTTCCAAACGGGGAGTTTGGACCGTCCGTGGATGCGCCCAACCCCAACTCTGGCTTCGGCCGCGTCAACTTGGCCAACTCTCTTCGCAACATTGTCGCCAACCAGGAGAGCACCGTCTACGGATACCAGGACGTGACGGGGGATCAGTCCCTCGGCATGGACGACCAACACAGGGGCGAACACGCCGTCACCGTTGACATTCCAGAAGACAGCCCCGCAGCACTGACCTTGAAGGTGACGCTCGTATGGACCGACTTCCCCGGCGAGAGGCTGCAGAACGACCTCGACTTGATTGTCGCTGGAGCTGGTGTTGAGAAGCATGGAAACCAGGGTGACGGCTCTGGGTTTGACCGAGTGAATAATGTGGAACAAGTCGTTTGGAAAAATGTGAAGCCCGGATCGTATACCGTCACCGTGAGAGCCTGCCGCACCACCAAGGATCCTCAGCCGTTTGCTCTCGCATGGAGAGCATTTGCGTAGTGGGATAATATTGTATTTTTTTTGCGGTTCATTTTGAGTGGTTGGTGATGTGTTATTTTTTGGTGGTATTGTCTGCACAAATGTTGTAATTGTCAATGGGAATACAACACCAGAGAATGGAACCTATACTCACGTTCTGAGAACCTGATTTTATTGGCTGGCACTAGGATATCCTATTGAATACGCATTTTAAATGAATTTTGAAACACAGTACGAGGATTTACCGGAGTTTGTCGCTCTCGAAGGTACTTCTTCTAAATATTTGAGAACTGGTCGGATTGTTGGAATAAATACGGTGTTTTGCACAGTGGCAGAAGACGATTTTCTTCTGTTTCAGGCCATACCTTGCCGGGCATGAGGGTGAGGGAGTAAGCCTAGGCCTGCGCGCTCTCCAATTATTCGTTGCCAAGAGCTTCACTTTCCGGGATACATGAGCCTAGCGACGCCCTGGCGATTCTAAAAGCGTCAATATCAAGCGGTTCGGTGCGAAGGTGCACCACCACGTCACGAGCGTCGGCGAGGGTAACGAATAGGGTCCTGCTAAAACATTTCTTGCATGGGGGGCTTGTCAATTCGCTTTGCAGCACTTTTCAGATGCTCGGTGACCAGCCTCTTTGCCCATTTGACCTGTTTCGAGGACGTGTTGAGCAACTTGGATAAATCGGTATCGGCGGCAACCACCAGGCAAAGGAAATTGAAGGCGAAACTGTCGAGCAGCCGTGCGTGGAAACACGGGAGTCGAGACTACATGTTGTATAGAAGTCAGAAGACGTAAAATTCTGCTGGGACGCGAGTGAGGGATAAAGACCAAAGCTCGTATCGAGCAAAAGAAAAAAAGAAATAAAAAGAAATAAATGCCCGCGACGACGCCACGTGTTTTCATTTTAAGTGCGTTGTTTTGCCTAATGCTGTGCAACAGAAGCAGTGACCGCATGCCTGGTGCATAATGAGGCACCAAGTGCCTCTTATTGGTTCATATTCATGCATAATAGTTCCATGTCCAATGCTCCTTCTAAAAGGGGAAGGAGCTCGGGAGCGTTATCACTGGTGGCTTCCGTCTGCACCGTGACATCACAACCACCACACAGATGAAGGCGTCAACTTGGTGTGGATAACATCATTGAGCTACATTGAAGTACATTAAAAGACCGGTAGCCTCAGCGCCCCGGATTAACCTGTAATTCATTGCCCTAGATTGCCAGAAATGCCACGACGGACGAAAGAAAAATGTTGCCAAAGACGACAATTCTTTTCACCCTCCACCTCTTCCGGTCGGTGACTGGTGTCCCGATGCCGCCTGGTGCAGAGCGAGACATGGATGCATCGGCAATTGATTTTGATGCCCTGATTGTAGGTGGTGGACCAGCTGGACTGGCCGCACTTAGCGCTCTCGGCCGCGTACGACGAACAGCTTTGTTGATAGACTCGGGCGAGTATCGCAACAGCCCTACACGGCGGATACACGATGTCGCCGGGTTTGATGGTACGACGTATTCTTCTACACACCGGCCAGGCTTCTCGTCCAATTTGACTCTAATATGGAATGGCTACGGCAGGTGTTACTGCGGCATATTTTCGATGGTCAGCTCGCCAGCAGATTCTTCATTACAAAACAGTTGACGCAGTGAACGGGACGGTAACGAGCATCCGACCCAAGGCGAACAACACCTACTTTATTGTCACCGCAGAGACTGCCGAGGGCTCAACATCGACTTACACAGCTCGGAAGATTATCATTGCCACTGGAGTGCGCGATCTTCTCCCGCCTACCCCGGGACTACGAGAGAATTTCGGCAAAGGGATCTACTGGTGTCCGTGGTGTGACGGCCATGAACACGCGGACCAGCCAATGGGGATTTTGGGCCCTTTTGACAAGACGGTAGAGGCCGTGGCCGAGGTATCCAATCTGAATAGCGACATCATCATCTTCGCAAATGGCACCGATACGTATGAAAATCGGGTCCGCGCCGACGCAGCGTTCGCGGAAAACTCGTCTGCGTACCTCGAGAAGCGGCGTGTCAAAGTGGACAATCGGACGGTTACACGGATCACCAGATTGCGAGATGGTGAAGACCCAAATAGGGACCCGTCCTTGCCAACTTCGCCCGAGTACGACCTATTCAACATCGAATTTGACACTGGCTCTCCAGTCGAACGCGGCGTTCTGCTTACCGCATTTACATACGAACAGCGATCGAGTATAGGTGAAAAGCTAGGCTTGAAGACCAAGGATGACAAGCTAGTAGTTGATGAAGATATGCGCACCAGTGTGTCAGGGGTGTACGCTGTAGGCGACGCAAATTCCGACATACGCACGAACATTTTGCACGCGCTGCATTCTGGGAAGTCAGCGGCTGTGTATCTTCACAGTAAGTCAGATTTGCGAATCAAGTCTAGGCACAACATTCTGGAACAAGTCAAAGACTAACTTACCTGAGCAGCTGAAATTGAGAGAGAGTTAAGTAGAAGTTTAACAAGCACGTCTGGGTTCCGCCAGGGTCTTTCAAGGCCAAGCGAAGAGAGGAGAAATCACGGCGATGGCTTCTCTTCGAAACTGAATGACATTGAACTCCCTGACTCTGGTACTCAAGTGGCTTTGAGTCGACTGAAAATCGATTAGCTCGAAGATGGAGCGTAGACGTGTGTACATTTTTCAGCGCCATGATGAGCGCCGAGCAGCCATGTAGCCAATCCAACAGGCGAGGATAAAATTAAGAATTGTTGATGACGTGTCACTAGATACATGACGTATTGAAGTGTATTACCACATTAACCCGATTTCATCGCCCGTCTGTATTGAACTTCCTCTTGTATCAGTCCACGCGGCAGCACGGCAGTTTCCACCGTAATGCACTCACGCGGGCTGCAAACCGCTTCCTTTTAATCACTCGCGGAATATTAGCTGCACAATCATCATAGTTCCGGCCTTTTTATCCGGGATGATTCAGCAACTATATGAATGGCTCAGTTTGAGCCATTTCGAGACACACCAACAGCACCCAAATCCGTGACAGAGTTTGGATGGTGTACGCGCCACGCGACTCTAGCAATTAGGCCTGCAGCCAGAAAACACTCCATCAAGCGTCGATGTGTACTTTGGCGTACATGATATATTTTAATACTGAAGATGGCTAACTAGCCAAACTCGCCAACCCGGCTCTGTCTCGGCACGCCTTGCAAAACCAAATGCGACGGTCCGTAGCACTAGATAATTGCGAGCATACCACGTACGTAAATGATGCCGTTGCGTCATCTTTGACAAGATATATTGAATAATTCGTACAATTTATTCTGCGGCCGTATGCGAAAGGGCCGAGCCGGCCCAAACCACCAAAAAATAAGCGTCAAAACCTCAAAACCCGCAAAGCCAGCCTCCACGACATTCACTTCCACACAATCGCAACACACGCTATACACGCGCCGGCTACAAGCCGTCCATATACTTCCCCAAGCCACAAGCCTCGAAGCGCAAGCGTAAAAAGGCAACCTCTTCCCTCCCGAACAGCCAGCAACTACATATAAAAAGGCCCAGCAGCCCATCTTCCCACACCACGTCTCTCCAACCCTCAACCTTGGCACCGTTTCTCCGCCGCTCACAAAAACTCCTCACAACAAACACGAGATTCGTCGCAAACATGCACTTCGCAAACCTGCTCTTCGTCATCCCATTCACGCCCGTCTTTGCGTGGCCGTTGGCGCTGAACCCGCGCTATACGTGCCCCGTTTTCGTCAAAAAGCCAGACTGCAATAATCCCTCAATAGTACGTGTACACCGTGGCGCTACACGGGACCTGCGAGTCGCGGTGGATGGTTCTCGCCATCATCTCCCCGCTCCTGACTTCCCTCCAGGCGACTAATAACCAACTGCTTTAGGTTGACCTCGCTTGCGGAGCTTGTCCCGGTCGCGACTTGACCTGGGCGAAGCCCTTTGTCAACGAAGGGAAAAAAAACGATACCAAGCCACTCACGCACTCATAGACGGGCCGACCGCGTCATTATGTTGATGGGATACGATGAGGGCGGAATAGTGATGCAAGACTGGGGCAATTCTTTTGACACCACTGTGCGTTTGGGATGATTTATCTATTGGGCTTGTATTGATGTTATGTATCTGGACTGGTGTGCGATTCTACCAGACACAATACAAACAGTTATCAATGACAAGTATCATGCATTTGTAAAACACTGTTGTTCGAGTACAAATAGTTCATAAAACTGTAATACCCGACTAACAGATACCCTGCGCTTGTATCGAATCCTCTTTCCGTGAAATAGTTGTCCCTGCCGCCATGATGTATGCTTGAACGCCTGCGCTTTGCCATTTCATACTAAAAATCGTGCCCCCGTAGACCCGGATACAAATGGTCCATAAGAATCCCATAGCGCCTCGTTTGAGTCAATAAATATGCGTATCGATTCCACCAGAATTGAAGCAGCAGAGCCTAGGCTCCCACCCCTATGGGCGGCCCCTCTTGCAATCTTTGCCTCTTTGGCTTCAACGACGACTCCTGTTCGTCGTCAGTTTCCTCCTCAAACCGGAACATGTCACCAAGAGCCTCGCGCTTGCGCTTGGTATTTCTGGGTGCGTCGTCTTCGGAATCAGTGTCCCAGGTCTCCATTTCGGACGGATTAAACTGGCCCACCACCTCCTCGCCAAGACCTTTGCCAAGTCGCTCCTTCAAACCAAGGATTGGCCAGATAGGAACTTTGGTGTACTCAATTCTGATGCCTAATGGGTCATTCTCACCCTCATCCTTAATCTCATCAGACGTGGGAGTTGTCGAGGGGTCATGAAACCTGTCAAGGAACTTCGATGTGATGTGCCCGGTATAAATGATAAAATGTTCCATATCGCTGTCGTGAGTGAGGATCCTGAGCTTGAGGTCCTCAAATGCTGGACGGGGCGGCTTTTCAGCCCAAGGAGACCACCGGGAGTCTCTCCAAGACGAGGGCACAGGTACATCATAAAAATGTCGCTGTGCCATAGCTAGGAAGATGGCCACCAAATAGGCATCGTGGTGCAAATTAGCGGGCATGACTGCCTTGGATCGGAGGAAGAACAGCCGGGAGACGGGTTCATTTCGGCATAGTTCTGACCCCGGTCGAATGCGGAAAACGCTCCGACGTATCGTAGCTAGTTGATCCTGTCCAATATAACAAATCATGGGAAGACCGGTTGGGTTATGAGCCGCGGGTGCTGAGCCCGAAAAGAGACCATTAGATTCGGCAGGCCGGGTCGATATTGACCTAAAGGAGCTTTGTGATGACTGGACATTGTCATCCGGATAATGCCACATTAGTTGCATGTGCACAGGAATTGGACAAGGACGGCCGCCAAAGAATATGTGCAGTTGTGGGAAAAGAATAGGCTGGCCGAATATAGCCGGCCATAATGTTGACAATACAGTCTTGACAGCACTTGAACCCTTTCTGGTTGCATTTGAATACAAATCCGCGCACGCGTCATCGGGATGCAAAATCTCGGTCAAAGCATGGCTCAGTGTCGTAATGGCCTTGGAAGGGAGCAAATGGCCCTTTGACGGAGGAGTACCGGGGATATTCTGAGGCAATGGTGTGTCGCAGGGCGGTAATTCCTGAAAGTGCGCACCGAGGACTTGCGAGTGCATGTCAGTCCAGTGCACGGGAGGGCGGAATAGAGGGATGCGGGCGTGCCGGCGCAGCAGATCACAAAGGGAGTTTCTAGCGGGTCGAAAGGTTTGCCACTTTTTGCACCGACGGTGCCTCGAAGAGGCCGACGATGTCTGTGACATGGTCAACGAGGGAGCTGAGTTGTGGGCGGCGTTGTGCCTGATATCTGCAATGGAGATTCGAATAGTGTTGTCGCAGATACAAGTCTATGGCAAGCGGTCGGCGATCTGACAATGGCGCGGATTCTGTCGAAGACGGCGCTCGAGTGAAATGTGTATCTCGTGCTGCGCGACGGATGGTAGGTTAGAGACTAGGGACACTTCATGCTTGTGAGGGAGAAAGAGCTGTGCTGACAGCGCGGCTGGATCGGAATAATACTGACTCTAGCGCAAGCATTGAAGTTTGGCGAGGGCGTGCAGTGTCTCTTGTGCGACCGTCGAAGCTCTATTTTGCTTTGGTGGCGTAATGTGATGATGGCTTTGGTGCTTGGATTATGGTGGTGGCACACCACGATGACACGCTCAAGAGTCAAGATCCCTGTTTACCCGCTAAAGCGAGTCACTGACTTTACGCTAGCCAAGACTGGAGTCTGAATTTGATCGCGCAACCAAGGGAGTGCAAAAGATGCACGCGAGGGGGAGGAAATAAGACCAGGCCATAAGATGCCCACTGAGTAGGTAGTTGTCGGGATTCAAAGTCAAGGTCGCAAAGAGAGGTAGGCATTCGGCTGAAAGGGAAGTAGCATGGAGCGCACCTGCTTTTTATGACGGCGGCCACATGCAACACACAAGGGCGCACCGCGTTTTTAGCGTGTCCAGGTGGCGTTCTCGTTGCGCGAGCATTGTGCGAGGTCACGTGATTCTAGGCAGCCACGTAGGCAGGGAGGGTCACAGGGCAGGAAAATGCAAAAGCGGGTCAGAGAAGCACAAGCACAAGCCACACACACCAAAGCAACACAGCGAATCAAGCATGAACATTGTGACTGGCGTTCAATGTTCACAGCTAGCTCCTTACAGCAGTTGACACCACACAGCCTGAACGACAATCACCAGACAGATGCATTCATGAAACCGGCCTGCTCCAGTTGTCGCTGAGGTCCGATGAATCCCCGAAGCCACACTCTGTCGTCGTGCATTGTGCTCTCAATGTTTTCAATCCTTTGACTGAAAATACTGGAACAGTCTTGGTGCCGACCGTCGCCTAGCATTACCGGTGGCACGCTCGTTTCTACAAAGATGAGCGAATATTCGGAGCAACCACGATTGCCTTGTCGGGACTCCATGTGCCATCGTCTGGGCTCTACATTTTTTTTCCTGTCTGTGGCAAGAGGCTTCTGTCCTCCTCTCATCGTCTAGCCTGCGAAGATAATGGAACGTTCATTGACCACCATCTCTTGTCCAGAAAGCCCATTCATGCCCATTTCCCCATCGGACGGGTCTCAATCTCTGCTCTAGAAGGGCTCCTCCAGGTCGAAATGCATCAGCGAAGAGTATACGCAAACCCGTAGAAATCTTTCCCTCTCGAACGGTAGCTTCCAAGCGTCAATCACTTGACGCTTCGACTTCGACTCGGGGCCAAAATTTCAACCTGCTCACTATTACCAGGTATTCAGGGTTGAGCATGCTGCTGTGCCGTTGCATACATGTAATCCCTGCGAGTGGCGTGCTGCAGTATTGAACTCATGCGTGAACAAACTATCTTGGCCCCAATCCGACCACTAGGAGAGTGCCTCTGTGATGCATAGAGAGAGATAACGACCTGCACGACTGGATGTTCCTCCACTTGTGGTACTTGAGTGCAGCTGGCAGGTGTCACGACAGTCCCCGACAATGTTGGCCCCGTATTCAACGTATGGGACTAGCAATAATCTCCTGCAGGCGTCAAAATGTAGAAGACCCTACATGTAAACTCGGGGGAATTTCTGGAGCCTCTTCCGGACAGCCATGCTTGCACGTGCAGGTGAGCATACTATTTCCAGTCTTTGCGTGCATGGCATTCCTGTATGGACTCCGTACTGGCGCCAGTTTCATGTGAATATCATTTATGACTTGTTCGCTGATGTACGAATTCGGCCAGTCACACATATAGTGCAACCAAATTATGCGGAACCCCCTCCTTTGCCCGCGAATAATATACCCATTAGTCGCTTGGTGCACACCGGTCTTCCAAATAGTCTTCAGGGATGGGAGAGGAGACGGAAATTCGGTTACCCAGGGACGGCTGCATGGATGGCAAGCTGCCGGGAGTGCGGAATTATAAACCCTGACCGACCACCCATCAGAGGTGCAATGGAGAAATGAATCATACAAAGCGGTTCAAAGGAACACAGCTACCCGCTCAATCCTATTTCTTACCTCGAAGTGTCCACAATGGGGGAGTCAATTCCTACACGTCCCAAAAAGTTCAATACTGAGCTGACGGATTACTCTCTGCCTCGCCACCAGCAAGATGGTCCGTATGCTGACAATCTGGAGATTGACGCCATAATTATTGGTGCCGGTTTTGGTAGGTCTCTTCAATCCCTCTCTCCGAGAGGTCGGGTGCTCTCACGCTCACACGCTCACGCACTGTAGCTGGCATCTTTATGCTCAAGACTCTCCGGGATCGCGGATACAAATCTGTCATTTTTGAGGCGGGGAGCGACCTTGGAGGAACGTGGAGATGGAATTCGTATCCCGGAGCGGGCGTAGATTCCGAGGTCCCAGAGTATGAATTTTCTTGGCCCGAGGTTTGGAAAACGTGGAACTGGCCATCCAACTACCCCGACTACCGGGATCTACGGGCGTATTTCGATCACGTCGACAAAACTATCGGCGTAAAGAAGGACTGTTCGTTCAACACGGTGGTTGTTGGCGCCAGTTTCGACACGGCAGCCGGAAAGTGGAGTGTTCGAACAGAAGATGGGCGAACCGCAAAGGCCAAGTTTTTGGTTTTGGGCACTGGATTCGTAAGTACAAGTTGATTTCGATTCGTCTCTCTTCTTTCTGCGCCAGTTTCCAGAGCACGGTATTGATTCACGGAAACCACTACACCAGGCTGCGAGGCGTTATATTCCCGACTGGCCGGGCATGGACAAGTTCAAGGGCGTCATCCACCACACGTCCTTCTGGCCCGAGGAAAACGTAGACGTGAAGAACAAGCGATGTGCCGTCATTGGCACCGGCGCCTCTGGCGTTCAAGTTGTTCAGGCGTGGGGGCCGGTTGCGGGCGAGGTCAAGGTCTTCCAGCGCACCCCGAACCTGGCGCTGCCCATGCGCCGCAGGAAAATGACACCCGAAGAGCAAGAGCGAAAGCGAGCATTGTACCCCGAGCTCTTTACTCTCCGGGAGACCAGCTTCTCCGGCTTCTACTTCGATTGGTACGAGAAGAATACATTCGACGACACTCCCGAGGGTCGCGAGGCAGTGTATGAAAAGGCATGGCGAGACGGGGGGTTCAAATTTTGGCTTGGCATCTACAAGGACAACTTGTTTGACGGCGAGGCCAATAAAGAATCGTACAAGTTTTGGGCAAAAAAGGTCCGGGCTCGCATTGACGACGCGCGCAAGAGGGACCTGCTCGCGCCAGAGACGATGCCCCATTACTTTGGCATCAAGCGTCCTTGCCTTGAAAACGATTACTACGAGCAATTCAACCGGTCTAGCGTCGATGTCGTTGACATTAGTAATAACGCCATCAAGGAATTCACCGAGACCGGCATCACCCTCGACGATGGCACGCACCACGAGTTTGATGTGATTGCCGTTGCCACAGGATTTGTAAGTGTCCGCTGATACATACTGGAGGCGTCTCTTGCTAACTACGGTAATAGGATATTGTATCCGGAGGTGGGCTAATTATTTCCCAACACGGTGACATAAACGGTTACTAACAGTTTTGCCCAGCAATGACGCAACTTGGCCTGCAGAGCATCAATGGCACCAATCTACAGCAGGAATGGTCCTCCGGGATAAGCACGTACCTGGGCATCAGTGTCAGCGGCTACCCCAACATGTTCCACCTCTACGGGCCTCACGGGCCGACTCTTCTCAGCAACGGCCCGACGACGGCCGAGGTTCAGGGCCGCTGGATCGCCGACATGCTCGACAAGATACAGCGACAGGACATCAAGTACGTGAACCCGAGACGCGAAGCGGCCCGGGAATGGACAAGGCACGTCGTGGAGCTGAACGACAAGACGCTGATTCCGACGACCAAATCGACATACATGGGAGGCAACGTCCCTGGCAAGGTGTACGAGCCCATGTGCTACGCTGCCGGGGTCGCGAGCTACAGGGCCGAAATCAGGGCTGCGCTGGATTCTATGCAGGGCTTTGAGGTTGTAAGCAATAGGATTGCGGTGAATCCCAGACTGTAGGCGAGCGACTATGGGGGGGGTGACTGGTATGGCATGATTCTGTGTGGGCGGAGTTTGGTGGTCGGGTGGGCTAAAGAAGCCCGGAGCCGTATACGAATTAGATGGCCAGCGATATAGTACAGGTAGGTTCTTTTCTCGTCATTTTCATGGGGAATAGGCTCATGGCACAACTGGCAACATTCTATTGTGCTCGACCATCAGATGCAGGTGTATAAGAAGCCACAGGGCATGATTGGCCAACCTTGGATAGCACCATTCGTTCAACGATTACATGGTATTGGGGTCAGTCCCATAGCCCCGTCACACAGCAAATAGGGGCCACGCTTCTTGTATTAGCTGTCTTCTTCTATCGATAAAATATACACGGGCTCTATGCACGGGTGATTGTGACAGACACGTCAGTGGCATTCTTGACGCCCGGGGACGTGAACAGGGCCAGGGTGCGCTCGTCAGGCTTGTGCTGCAGCAAGCTGCCCTCAGGAGAGATCCGGACGCTATATCCGCCGGGGAAAGTGGCCGGGGGCAGGATGACCTCGGTGGGCGCGTCGATGGCCGGGTCAGCCGTGAAGCGCAGCGTAAAGGTGGCAGACTTCTCATCGAAGCCGAAGCTCCGGGGCACGCCGGCGACGGCAGCGGGATAAGCGCGGGCATAGTGCCCAGCCAGCTCGGGGTAGGGCCGGCCCGTGGTGCCGTTGTACAGGTTCTCGTAGGCCCAGCCGATCCACGAGACCATGGCGGCGTCAGTGGCCTCCATGGCGTCGGCCAGGTCGCGCATCTGCTGGTCGTCGCCCATCCAAAAGGTCAGCTCGGTCAGGACGCCGGCGGTGCGGAGGCGCTCGTTGTCCCTGCGGCGGTTGGCGAGGGTGTCGGCGATGGACCCCAGCTGCGGCGGCTTGTAGTAGTGGTACGAGTGGACGGAGCGGGCGCCGTCGCCGAGCGGCACGTTGTTGAAGCCCGAGAGGATGTCGAGCGTGGCGCCCTCGAACCAGATGAGGGTGTCGTTGTCGACGGCGCGGATCTGCGTGGCGGCGCGGTTCCAGAGCCCCTCGAGGGCCTTGTGGTCGGCGACGCCCGGCACCAGCAGCGACGGGTCGGCCCAGCTGTCGCCCACCCACGGCTCGTTGAGCAGGTTGTAGCCGACGACGTTGGCCGTGGCCGCGTAGCCCGCCGCCAGCTTGCGCCAGTAGGCGGCGAAGGCGTCGCCCAGCCCGTCAAAGTTGTTGTACAGCCGGCCAAAGGCGTTGCTGACGGCCACCGACGTGTAGCTCAGCGCCCAGTCGACGCTGCCGCAGAGCGAGGCCGGCGACGGGAAGCCGTCCTTGTCGACGGAGAAGGGCGACAGCTTGAGCGGGAAGGGATACCTCTCCCAGGCGGGCACCCAGTCCTTTTTGACAAACCACTGCCGCGCGCCGTCAGTTCATGCATGATGATACATCTAGGGTTGGGGTTAGGGTTAGGGTCACATACGTCGGGCACCCCGTGGCCGCACAGCTGCCGCGCCAGCACGTCCTGGTGCACGTCGACCAGGACGTAGATGCCGTGGGCCTCGGCCAGGCTGGTCTGGGCCCTCATGATGTCGAGAAAGGTCTCGTTGTACTCGCCTCGCACGGGCTCGGCGCCGGCCCAGCTGTGGCCCAGGCGCACGACGTTGAGGCCCAGGTCGCGCATGTTGCGGACGTCGCGCTCGCCAAAGGACGACACGCCGGGCACCCACTCGGCCGGGCGGTGCCACGGCGGCTCCTTCATGACGACGTTGGTCCCGTGGAAGAAGCGCGCGCGGCCGAACTCGTCGACAATCTGGTGCGTGTCCTGGTTCACCCGCTGCACGCGGGCCATGCCGGGGTGCGCCGCGTACCAGCCCGCGCCGTCCTGCGCCAGCCCACCTCCCAGCAGCGACAGGGCCACGACGCCAGCATACACGTACGTGTACATGGTGGGCAGTTATATTCCGGGGTGCAAGAACAGACGAAAGGGCCACATTCCGAAGCAACTGGCCGGCTGCACGCGGCACGTTATGTAGCGCGGGCGGGAATATAAAAGCCCAGCGCTCGCTCCTTCCGCATTGACATGCGAAGCCGACAAAGCGGGGGAAACGCCTTGGACCTGCTCTTTTCGGCGCCATGACCTGAACTATCACCCGAACTAGCTGGTCGATGCCGTCGACTGCAAAACCCCCGAGGGTCGACTTCAACGTGAGGAGTCAGGACTGAGGACCGGCCCGCGGTGGCTGTGGCGGAGCCCATGCTCGACTTTGCCCGTGAAGCCACTCGCGTACACGTGCCGTGCCGAGTCATCCATTGGTCATGGACGCCATGGGCATGACATCAGCCAATTTCACCCTCTAAGCGAGGTGCCATCGACTCATCTGAATGAGCCGTCGGCCGTGTGTGGCTGCGCCTCGTCAACTCGCTCCGAGGGGGTCCACGGAAGCCTCAGATGATGTCGTGCTGGGGACACAGAGACACACCGTTGACACTTGTATGGATATCGGGCGTATTCGGCCAAGTGCCGCTTTGCGGGATTTGTTTCCCGATAGCCGTCTGGTGTTACGGAGTACAGGCATGGCTCTGTAGTCAATTGGTTCCGCCGTGTCTGTGCCCTGGCATCATCTCGCTCACCGGTGAGCATGGAGTCGGCGACTCACTTCGACTACGTACCTGCTAGTTCTTGGGTCTGGAGTGAGCACGTTGTTTCGGCTCCGAGACTCTGCCTGGTCATGCTGTCTTCCGTAGCTATCGCATTGTAGAAGTTGCCGATGGATTTGACGACAAGTTCCTGATGACTGAAATCCACTGATACCCGTCACTAGAGCCTGTCAGGGGGGCTGGAAAGGACCTTACTGTTTATAATAGGTAATTGAATGGCCTTAATTAAAGACCTTGCATGTGTAGTATTTGAAAGAGGTTAAAAATGAAGTAGTTGTGTACACCGGGCTTACAACTGTCACGATGTAGTAGCTGTTGAACATGAAACAGCA